CCCATAAAGTAAACTATATAAAAAACTGATAAGCAACTGATAAGTATCTCATAAGAAATTTTACGATGATTCACTTTAGTCACTCCAAATCTTGCATATGATTTGTTCAAAAAACTTCTATGCATAATTAAAAATTATTAAAATTGGAAAATTTCGCCCATACGATAGAGATTGGAATAGATGACTAATTATTCGATCATCGACCAAAAACTTCGAGCATCGAAATAAGATTTCATTCACTGAGTTTTTAATTCGAGCATCAGTAACAATTTGTTTTGATAATGATAACATAATGTTACATTTTTTTTTGATTGATGTTTTGATCATGATAACATGATTATTTAATTGATAAATATATGTCGATATATTAAAAATGTAGTGATAGCAGTACAATTGATAAATGTTACACTAAATTCACCAAACATTCGAAAATTCTTTTACCGATGCTCGAAATTCTAGAGTTTGTGATCAATCAATGCTCGAAACTCATAGATTCCACTCTCTAGTCTGTAACTTTTTTTCCATGGCTAGCCATCAGGTGAGCTAGTTTATAATCGTATTAAATCACAGAAATTATAAAATGGCACCACAAAATTGTACGAAGTTTTTATCACATTAAATCGCAGAATGCCTTGGCTACATACAAATTTAGTTTTAACCACCACAGAAAAGCACCAACATGGAAATTTTCGACAAATATTGTTTTGGGTTATTTCGATAACATATAACGATTTCTATTTTTGTTTAATAAAACACACCATGCGTTAAAGCTTCTGATCAGCAAAATATTTATAAAACTCACAGCATGTTGCAGACACGTAATGGAGACATTTTGTAACATAGCTTCAAAAAAACTGTGTTTGCTAGTTTATGATCCATGAAATATATTCACTAACAAAAAATGGATCGGTCTAGATGTTATACGCCGTACAAATCCGTGCTTTTGATTTGGATGTCTCTTAATATGCATCTTATCATTTATATTTATGTATGCATATTGACGATTAATCAGGTTTTGAAAATATTGTATCTATAATGAAATAACTAATATAAGCATTTCCTTGGTCTTTTTCTAATTTTATTAGTTCGTGATTTTTTTTTTCTAACATTTTATTAACTAACATTGTGTTATATGTTTACTAAGAATGGAGTTACAGAAATACAATGTGAATGGCTTATGGTTTACATCTGCAATTCCAGTTTTTGGTTAGTCAGTATTATCATGTAGAGATGCGATCCGGATATCCGCTAGTTTTAAATATGAAAACGGATAGCGGATCATGTAACTCTATACTTTGATGGCTGAAATACGCAGTTCTTTTGTGTGCATTACATTTATTTATACACAATTGACGTTGGATTTTATTTATTAGGTTAGGATAGTGATTAAAACCGTAAACTGTAATACCTGTAATTATATATTGACGTATTGTATAATGCTTTGATGTCGTAATTCCGTATTGCTGAGATACTGAAATAAAAAATTGGGAAGATGTGATAAAAAATTAGGACACAATGAAAGATTGGGAACATTGATAAATTGAGAAGGCTCAATTAAAATTGTAAGTGATATTGTTGTATATTATTTAAAAAGTAGGGTTAATAGACATTTACGACAATATGGCAATATTGCAACACGGAATGTTTACTCTTTACAGCATTCAAGATTTTAGTCAATACAATAATCTAGTAATTACTAAATTGAATATAATTTATTGGTTCATTCGTTTCTGGTTTTAGTGCGCAGCCACTTATTTGATAAAAATTGTGATTTATTGGTTCAAATTTTTCTGTTTCCCTGTTTGGAGATCTTATCGGTGCGTCTATCACCATTAAAAATGACGCGAACGTACGTACGACGTACGTACGTATTTAGTTTGTTTCACTACACTCGACCTCACTTTCTCATTCTCAACCTGCTGTACTTTGCTTTCACGTTCTCACTCTCTGTTTCTTTTTTTTTTATATATCTTTGTTACGATGAAATATCCAACCAAATACACAGGAGAAGAGCTCGACAGAGACGAAAAGCAATTATATCGAGTAGCAAGAAAATATTTCGAAAGAACTGAATTGGAAAACTGGAGTGTTCATCAATTTTTAGAGTTTATAGAAAGAAAAGGTGGCAATAATTTTTCACTATCAGTCCAAAAAGAAATTTTCATCCTGTGGTTAGAAACTTATTTACGAGAAGAAGTTATTACCGCTAGCAAATATTTGAATCTTCTTAATGAAGCAAGAGTGAGTTTTCTAATGGGGGGTTTTTTTTTGTTATATAATGATCATTTGAGATATGATGCGCGCAGTCTAAAGACATTGAACATCTATATTAAACTTAAAACTGCAAAAACTTTCAACAATTAATTGTAAACCATACATATTTAGTTAGTTTGTTGTAATCTATCAAACTATGTATTTAGATTTAAGTCTTTTGAAATTTTTTTAGAAAAAGTGTAACTTTTTTAAAAATTTCAGCACTAATATAAAAAAATTAAACAGTAAAAAATTTAACCAATCAGATTATAATCTGCAAAATTTTTTAGACCGTAGTAAATAATTGGCAACGCGCATCATAATATATATTATGTGTAGGATTTTAATTTGATGTAATAATATTTATAAGAATGTAATGCTACTATTATTTTTCTAATATTCGTGGTGAAAGTCCGATCTTATAGGCCCTCCGAGTCGGAATCAAGCAATTATAAAAACTGGGAGATCGAAAAATATCTATGTTGAAATTGAAGGTATTTAACTTCATTGAAATTTTTTTTATTGCAGTTCTGAGCAGATTTGCAAAAAAAATAAATAATAAATCAAATGAAAATCTGCGCAAAACTCCAAAATTTATACTATAAATGCAGAAATTAGATGCAATTCTGTGCAAAACTTCAAATTCTAAAAAATTTTGCAGATTTTTTACAACAATTCTTCAAAAATCTGCAAAAATACAGAGTTTTGCAAATTTGCACTTATTTAATTTTCCCGATGAAATTATAAGCCTGACATTCAGGCATACATCCTATGCGTACGGATTTGTTAATTATATAATTTTCTTTCATAGATTATATCAAGAATGATCTCCCAGATGAAGTAAAGCAACATCTACACCTTGAAATGGAGAAGGATGTAGCCAAAAGTGACGAATCCGGATATATTTATGTACTTGCAGGTATTATAAATTTACTGATAATTTGTTAATTGCTTATCATTATGTAAAAATTTCTATCTAATCCATATATGCTAGTTAAAGAAAATCAGAATTCGGGGCTGACATATTACAAAATTGGAAATTGTAAGAATGTTGATCAATGTCTAAAAGAATGGGGGAAAAAATGTAAATACAAAGCAGAACTACTAGAAGTGTTTCCCACTGTTCATAAATGTAAATATACACATCGTGTTAAAAGATTAATATATCTTGAGCTCTCAAAAATGAAGATTACTTTACCACTATGTTCCGGTTGTAACGAGGACCACAAAGAGTTGTTCAACGACGACAATTCTCAACTATCTGGATGGGAAAACATACGTGGTTATCATTAATTGGGTAAATTATTCCTATAATGTTTACGGACCTGCTTACTAATAATTGTCAGAAGCATACTCCGACATAATTCTGCATAAATTTATAAAATAAATAAATACCCAGTTAATTTGCTTTTAATCTCATACTAGTAATATTTAAATTTTACTATATAATATCCTTAAAAATTATAAATATGCCTTAAGATCCTAGTAAAACTTTATCGCAATCTTTGTCATCTGTAAGAAAAAACTAGAAATTGCACCTGTGGCCAGCTTCAAGTAATATTTTAATGTAGAGTATTCGAAAAGCTTTTAAAAATTGAATTTGTAATTAAAATATCAAACGAAATAAATTTAGAACAGAGTGAAACCTGATCTGCGAAATATTTTGTAGATCGGGTTAAGGTGAACCGCATTTTTTATTATACCGGGTGGGTGGAAAGTCTCTATACAGGTTCCTTTTTTTTTACTATCTCCGCTAAGATTTATAGTACTTAATTTTAAGTACAATTATACCGAGTGGGTAAAAAGTAACTAGATAGTGACCTTTTTTAATCACTATGATTATCATTTTAAAGTTCAGTAATTATTGCAATGAATTAAAAATTATAATAATTTTTAATTTATTGCAATAATTACTGAACTTTAAAATGATAATCATAGTGATTAAAAAGGTCACTATCTAGTTACTTTTCACCCACTCGGTATAATTGTACTTAAAATTAAGTACTATAAATCTTAGCGGAGATAGTAAAAAAAAAGGAACCTGTATAGAGACTTTCCACCCACCCGGTATAAAACATGTGATGATTAGGGTTATACAACCCGGACACGTGTCTGCCCCAAAAAAATTAAGGCATGGGCATAGGCATAGGCCAGGGTTGTCATTGGACATGCTTGGACAATTTTGAACAAAAAAATAAATTAAAATTACTCTAAATTTTATTAAGATAATCTATAATATTTCTTGAGTAAAAAATATATATATATATATATTTTTTAATGTTAAAGGGGACCTATTTGGCCTGGGGCATTTTATTAAGCAGAGTAGACACTATACATTTAGATGAAGGTACATCAAGCCACATGTGCACTTTTGGTGCCTAATTTAAGTAGTCTGCCCAAAGGTTCTACACTATCTGCCGTATTTGTAAGGGTAATAACAGATATTATATAATATTCTGGGGGAGGGGGTCTCTGATTTTCTTATGTAGAAATATAACTTTATAATAGCCAATCAAATTTCTCTTACATTGGTAGAGGGTATAGTAAAAAAATATTATATAATATCTGTCACTACCCTAACCCAACTATGGGATTACCTATTTAAACCTTCTAATCTTAACATATTCAGCCAAACCTATATCTAACACAGGTGTTACTCACTATATAGTTGTAGTTTTTGCAACACTGCTATATTTAGCTTCTTTTCTTAGGACACTTAACTATCCTCAAGATAAACCTAACAGAGTGAACCATATCCCACACATGTGTTTACCTGCATATTCGGTAACTTTTTCTAGATTAGTACCTGTTGTGCTGCTGATATCAGATTAATATTTCAAGCCACCTTTTAGAACACTGCTGTAACCTGATCTGTATCTCAAGCCACAACCTTCTAATTAGTTATCTATTACATACTCCTTGCTCTTGTAAGGTTCCCAACAACCACAGTACCCACATTTGAAACCATTTTCTTACCCAGATTTTTTATTAGTTCCTTCTTTACTTCTAACTAGCAACCTGGAAGGGTTGGTCTGCCCAGGCTTTATATGCCTCATGGTTGCCCTCCTCTTGGTCTATAATTTTGAAACATATGTTTTTTTTCTCTGATGCAACAACCCAGTGGTTCAGCTAGTGTGTCCTCTGCTATTTTAGGACCTAGTCACACAGTTCTCTGATCTCAGGCCCCAGTTTAAATTCAGCTCTCCTGTGGTATTTTTAAGTAAAATATAATTAGCACCTAAATATATATACAGTTAACTCTCTTTTATCTGAACAGCCCATTCTTGGATATTTAGTTCAGTTTTTAAAAAGGTATTATAAACTTATTTGAACTTTATAATAAATTTTATAAATGTCTAGAGTTTTTGGTTCAGATAAGAGAGAGTTTGGTTTAGAGAGGTTTGGTTAAGAGAGAGTTAACTGTATTTATATTAAATAATTTATTAATTATTAAAGCTTGGAGGTGCCTTGAACAATCTTGGGCATCCAAGCATTTAAATACTTGGACATAGTAAGGGAGGGTAACAAAATTTTTTTCCACTCAAAAAAAATTTTTTAAAAATCAACTATCAATCAGAATAAAATAAATTTATATTTATTTAAAAGCTTAAGCATTTCTCTATTTAATAAAAATTTTAAAAAATATAGTTACTATTAATATTGATCTAAATTTTGATATTAAAAATTATTTATTTTCAAATTTAAATCTCATAAGTTTGGGTATAATAATTATATTATTTTTTTATTGTAAATATATTTGCAATGCCCTGCAAATATTATATTATATGTTTTATTCTTTAATTATTTGTAAAATTAGTAAAATATGTAAAAAACAAAAATATATTGATTTTTTTAAAAAACTGCTTATATATCAAAATTTTATTAGGATAGCTAACTTTTAACTTCTAATTAAAAATGTTCTTTATGCAATTTTACATTAGATACATTCAAATAAAATAACAAATATTTAGTAATTAAAATAATTAAAAGTCAAATTATAAAATATTTGAGTTAAACTTACAATCATGGCTTTTAATATATGTTATATGCAAATAGATAAATTTTAGATTAGTATAGCATTTAAGTTAGACCTCTTAATATATATTTTATATAAAAAATTTTTTTTAAGTTAATTAGTATAGTAAATATTTTAAATTTAGATTCTGACTTTTAATATAAATAAAAAAGTTTTTTTTTTTTTTTTTTTTTTTTTTTTTTTTTTTTTTTTTTTTTTTTTTTTTTTTTTTTTTTTTTTTTT